AAATGTTGTATGCAAATGTTTCTTAATTATGGGGTTTTGTTTTCCTAATGTGTTGATTGGTTTATTGGCAGTCGATTTACTGCTGGACGTGTTCATAGTTAAGTATGATAGGACAGATGATAAGGCTCACAAGGGTTTTTTTTTTTTCACCATAAGTGGGGACAATCATTAAAACATGTGACCTTTTAATGCTAGATTTATGTTTGTACATCCATACTTCAGAAATTCTGTACATAATCAGACATACAAAAACAAATCAAAATTCTTTAAAAGTATTCAGGGTTGTCAGACTGTAATAAGCTTTACAAATATAGTTTTACTTAATAACAATATTTTCCAAGAAATCACATTGAAAATGAATTTTAAGATTTAAAAACTTTATAAATTATTCGATTTAAAATTGTAAAAAAAAAATTTTTTTTCTCCAGATAATATTGTCTTTTATATATATCTTATTCATTAAAGCAATTAAAAAGTTTCTCTAATTAAATAATGTCTTAATTTTATTGCATTTTTTTATTTTTCGATTTTTCAGTAAGCCCAGGTTTGATTCAAAAAAAAAAAAAAATTCAGTGATTTAAATTCTTCAAAGAATTTTGCTTTTATTTAGTATAGTCATTAAAAATTATCTTGAATTAAGTTTTCAAAAAAGTAAGGGGCTGAAACACATGGGGAAAAAAAAAACTTATCAAGATTTTATAATTAAAAAAAATTTCAAAAATAATTTCATTCATTTGTGAATAAGTTGTGAAAATTGGATTAAAATCCAACAATTATTTGATTTTTGCAAGTATTTCCAAATTAATGTGTCAGTCACCACAAAAAAGAAGCCAAAATTTGCTATGCTAACCGCTGAAGCAAGAAAAACAAGTTTTTAATCAAAATTTTTAATGTTCTAAATAGGAGTAAAAAAATTTTAATTAAATAATCAAAAAATACTTTGATCCTTCCTCTTAATAATAACCAGGATTTGATGATAAAACTGTTTTCATTGTGGTATGCTGATTCTTAAGCATTTTAATGGAGGTACCTATATATAATATCTTTATCTCTCTTTTTATTTATATATATATATATACACACACACACACACACACACACACACACACACACACACACACACAAATTAATGTATTTTATTTTTTAATCTGACATTTTTATCCCATATTTGAGTAGACAGAACATTTATTTTAAACTCTATTTATTTTGTCTACCAACCTATGTAGTCAAAAACTTTTTCACATTTTCTTAAGTTTTCTTGAATACATAGACCAGTAAATACACTGAAAATAATTTGAAGTAATAAAAAAAAATGTATAGGAAAAAGTGGAAAATGCAAATGGAGAATATTTACACACACTTTCACAGTTCTATGATTTTTAACAGTTAAATTGAGGTCATGACATAGCAACTTTCTCTCCATCTTGATTTAACTTTTGAAAATCATAGAACTGTGAAACCAGTAAAGTTACACTAAATAATGTGGGGAGATATATATAAAAATCTTACTTTCTTGTATAAACTTAGTCCTGTAATTGATTTAACTGAGTAAAGGTATATGGCAAATGTCATATCATCATGATATAATTTTGGCATTAACTATGCCAGTGTCTGCTGCAACATGTTTAGTGGGTTTCTCTGTGCAACATATGCACATCCATTATTTTATATATAGAAATGATCTAGATATGCTTTTCTTCAATGTTTAACTTTTCCATTTTTAAATAAAATTAAAATTGGCAGAAGTTTTTTTTTTCTTGTATAAGTTTCTTGTTAAAATCTCATTGAAAGGAGTCAGCATTCCTTTGGAAATCTTCTAAGTAGAGAAAAAAATGAATAGCAAGTGTGATTTTAAAAAGTCTAATGAAAAGAAAGATTATTGCTATTAGATGACTGAGTCAATCAGAAAATTGTGTTGTATATTTGTATTGTATATTCTGTAATAATGACTGAGCATGACTTGAGAATTTTTCTTTTCTTTTTGGAACTCAAGTAGAAAAAAGAAAATTTGTTTCTGTGTTTTTATAATTTTTTTTTTTTTTTATCCTCTGTTAAGATATCACAACATTGGCCAGGTTGGGTCTCATCCTCTCCGATATAACAATGGAGATATTGAGCTTGTCTATGAAAATGGAGAACCATGTCAAAGTCCAAATAGAAAAAATTCCTCAACTCACATTAAGTTTGTGTGTGATATGAATGCTGAGGTAAGAAAACTCTTCCTTCTCTTTTTCACTTCTCAGTTGTACTCTGCGGCAAGTGAAAATTTCATTTGAATTAAGTTGGCTAAAAAGTTAATTTTGTTTTTGTCAGACAGTGAAACACTTCCAATGACATCACTTCCCATTTATGACGGTGTGAATTTTGAAAAGAAAACAAAATGAAACTTCTTTTTTTTTTAATGACACTTCTAATATTGAAAGTGAAAGAAAATAAAAAAAAATGTTTTCAAAAAATTATGTCTTTCTATTTTAAAGGTAACAATGATGAAATATGTCAAAAGTGGTTTGCAAAGTTTTAAATCAAAGATTTTTTGATGAACATTGCTCATGGCTGAGTAGACTCAACTTGAAGGTGGTCATGATTATATTGATTCTATACTAAAGCAATATTTTTAATGTTTCACAATGTAGGCAATAACCAGCATCATCAGAATATCTAAATTAAGCACTGAAATAATTTGCATGAGTTATGTTAGTTACTTTGATGTGTAGCTTCCTCATAAGTTAAGCTCCCAAAACAATCATACTGTATGTGTGTGTTTGTGTAATTCACTTCATATGTGTAATGAAAATGGCCTCTGTGTGTGTGTGTGTGTGTGTATGTGTTTAACAAATTGTGACAAGTGATGAAGAGTGGATTCTTTACGGCATAGAATACAAAAGATCATATAGAAAGCTAAATGAACCACCACAAAATGTATCAAAGGGGGTACTGTGTATATGATTGATTAAAAGAAAGTCCCTCACTAAGAATTCCAGCAAGATAACGCCCAAATATATATTTCTTCAGTAACCAGGAAAAAAATTTAAAACTTGGCTGCTATAATTATCATATATTGATCTTTCTGATCTCCATTTATTCTACACTTTATAGAATTCTCTTAATGAAAAGAGGTTTCAGTTTCCTGAGATACTACAAAAGGGCATCTCAATTTTTGAGAAAATTAAAAAGTTATGGTAGGTTGGAATTATGAAATTGCTTAAAAGATGGCTAACAGTAGTGGAACAATGGTAAAGACATGGTTCAATCAAACCAATGTTTAAATAAATAAAAAACAATTTTACTTAATAAAGAGAACAAACTTGTTGAGCAATCAAATAAATTATCTTTTGGCACTGACACCTTATTCTAAACATAATTCTTTTTTCAATTTTAAAAATTCTGCCTTTCCAAATCTCACCTTTTGTTAGCAATTTAAATCTTATTTATTCATTTAATTTTAATTTATATTTTATATTGGATATATCAACAATCTTTAGCAACCATAAGTGTCTATAATTTATTTTTATTAACTGTTATTTCAGGATACAGATCCTAGTGAATATTCAGTGAGTCATGGATGCGAACATCATTTTATGTGGTTGACAAGAGAGGCTTGCCCAATTCGGAAAACTCTTACAAATAATGATACATGCCGTGTAACCGATCCAAATACAGGTGAGTAACTCTCTTTCAGTTATTTCTTTCAAAATTTCACCATTAGCATTTTATTACTGCTAGACTTCTAATACTTGACATATTTTAATGAAAGCTTTTCTCATACAAAAATAAATCTTGCTTAAATAAATGATTCTCAGTCAAACTAATCTCTTGCAATATTCACTTCATTCAAATGGAAATTAACTGAAAGAAGATTAAAAATTGTAAATGACCTTTTAATTTTGCTTATTTTTAAACAGGTTATGCTTTTATTTTAATTACTTGTTCCTCTTTATTTGGCAGGTGTAACCTTTGATCTTTCACAGCTTAGGAGTCTTCATGGTTATAGTGTCCCAGACAGAGTGGGGCATGTCTTCAAACTTAATGTCTGTGGCAAAGTCAAAAGCCTTTGTGCTAATACATCAGGTAATTTTTGAAAGAAAATGGGTGGTACAATTTGCACAATCTGTTCTTTATTTTTTTCTCTTGGTGAAACATAGAAAGATACATTCATTTGAATCTTGTTGGATCAATTTTAAGTAAATTTTAAGAGTGAACAGAATGTGATGCTTGAGCATGTTTCCTTGTGTGTGTGTGTGTGTATTTGTAAGGGAAACAAATCGTTACTTACCACTTTAAGCTGAGCATGGTGCTATGTTCCTTACCAGACAGAAACTGTTGTTGTGTTTGCTTCCTTTTTTATGGAAGAGTGTACATTGCTGGTGAACCAGAAGTTATCCAGCATTGGACTATAAATTGCTAAGAGGACTCGTACTGTGTGTAGCTGGGGAGATGGAAAAATTGTAGCTAACAGAAGGTACACAAATCAATACCTGATCAGTATCGGCTGGGTCACCATAGAGAGGAGGTATGATATTGAAAGACCCAAAACCCCTAATGAACCTTGGCTAGAAACATCACTGATGATGTGTACCAAAGCATCCAATAGATGTATTTTACGAAGTAGAGACAATATTTAAATTAAACTTTAATATTTGTAAATACAAAAATTGAAAAAAATATTGTTTTATTATATTGATGTATAATTTAATTTTTTTTATCATTTCACCCCAAGAAAGGATATTATGCCACTAGGATGTACGTTTACAGGGAGTGAAAGAGAATGAGAAGACTTTATTTTTGCGTAATCTATATTTCTGTTTCTAACAAATGATTTTAAATTTTTTTTTTAAATTGAATGAAAATGGTTAAATTCAAAACCTATTATATGAAATATAAATTAATCTCAAACTGAAATAATCTAAATAATAATTATATTATTAAAAAAAATTCAACAATAACATTTAGTCATTTTTTTGAAAATAAATTACATTATTAATTTAGTTTGACTTTCAGTTACCCTGAAATAAGTCTTCTTAAATTTTAAAATTTTGAAAATCTAACAACACTTTTACTTTGTTTATAAATACTTGTTGTAAAATATAATTCTTACATTTGCCTTGATAAAGTCCATCAAGTACAAAATGCATCAGCTAAAATAAGTTTTCCTTTTGTCTTTATTCATATTGTCTTTTTACAGATATTTTTTTAGTATCTAAAGTTTTACATGATAAAATTTAATGTTTTGTGTGTAATTTTTTTTTCTCTCTAAAAAGTATTTGTTTAAAAAAAATGTTTAGTTTACCTTTTAAAAAAATAATTGATAGTAACTCTGATCAGTTTGATAAGCTCAAATTGGCAGCTGATGTCATAAACAATCTTTAATCTTTTGTTAATTTGGGCAAAAAATAGCTTGTTAATTTTAATGCCTCAAAAACAAAGCTGCTCTCTATTAATCATCTGAGAAACCCCCTTCAAAACCTTCAGGATAGTTACTTGTGGCACTTTCCTGGGCTAACATTCTTGGCACACATGAAGTGGAAAGACTATATTGAATCCATTACTAGGTCAGCTGCTAAGGAAGTTGGTTCATTGTTGTGCCAGACAAATTTTCTCTCCCAAATCTAAGTTATATATGTCTACCATTTCTCCATGCTTGGAATATTACTGCTACATCATGGTCTGGTGATCCTGCTACATATTTAGACATCCTTGTTAAAATCCAAAAAAAAATCCACCAATATTATTGGTCCTGATCGGGCATCTCAGCTTCAGTCACTTTCCCACCACTGTTAAGTTACCTCCTTATTTCTTTTCTATAAATACTTTCATGGTAATTGTTGAAACGAGCTATTCACTATGCTACCTAGTTTTTATGAATTTAAGTGCAGTACTAGATTGGAAAAAAAACTCCTTAATTTACATTCAAGTTGGCTATATGTAATCATAAATTTTATGCTTACAGTTTCTTTTCTTGCACTTCTCGCTTGTGGAACTCTCTTCTGGCTCCATGCTTTCCAGTCAACTTTAATCTTCAGAAATTTAAATGCAATGTCAATCAATATCTGCTCTCATCCTGATTACTCTGCTATTGTTCCCACTCCTCGGTAATGTTTCTATTTTCTAATTCTTCCACACCCAGTAACCTTCTGTGTCTTAGTTGCTTTACTGCCTTGCTCGGGGTGAACTTGAATTTAAGAAAGATTTTATACTACAAAATTAATGAAAAATACTATCATGTTGTTCACATTTTCAGGTTTAATTTGGTCACTACTATTTTTATTCATTAAGATTTCATTATCTTTACTTTAAACTTTTCTTTATCATTATTTTCCTTTTTCTCTCTTTAATTTACAGGTTCCTGTCAAATTGATCTTTTCAACAACTCTTTTAATGCTGGGAATGCAAATGGCAAGCTGCAATTTGAAAATGGCATTGTCTTCCTCAACTACTCAGGTGGAGATAAATGTCACCATGGCAAATTTGAGCGCAATACAATTATCAATTTTGTATGTAATCCTTCGGCAAAAATTGGCCAGCCAATGTTTATCGATGAATCTGATGACTGCACCTATTATTTCTCCTGGCATACCAGTTTGGTCTGTGAGAAAAAGGTACACCCCTTTTTTACTTTTTACTTCTTTTTTTTTTTTTTTTTTTACTTTTTTTTTGTTTTGTTTTAGTGAATTAATGGTTTATTAATACTTTATTTTTAAAATTTTGCAGGAAATACAAATGTATTAATGTTGCTCATAAATGCTAATCAGTTGTAAAGCAGGAATGCAATTGTCAAATTCATTGTATCCTGGAAATACTAAGCAACTATTTTACAGCAATCTCGACAACTGTGCCAAAGTTTGTGTATGTTTAGCCATCACAGCTAAACAGAAAGTCCCTCTGAGTTCATTTGAAGTCAGCAAAGATTGTGATTGGGTAGAAATGGACATTAGAAACTTAAAACTATAACACAAAAAAACATTTCTTGACTCTCAATATTGGTTGGGTTGATGAGGTGAGGTGATCTTTTCAGGCTAATTGATCACCAGTGACCTGTGATGACTGATCCAACCACAACTACCTTACCATTTACTAATTTTCTTTAAAGTGGACTTCTAAACAATCAGCAAATGTTGCATACTTCAGCTTGTCATACTTTGTCATCTCTGTGGTCAGATTTTTTTTTTTTTTTTTTTTTTTTTTAACTCACCTTCAGATGTATTACTTTTTAGGCTGTTCAAAAGTCCATGAACACTTTCTATCATGTTGAGCAGAAACAATTGAAAGCCTATTATTATCTTTCTTGCATATGTTCATCAATTACACTTCTTAGTGCTCATACAACAACAACCTTCTTCAGAATTCCTCTACTTTAAGTGGTTCTTGGGCTTTGTAAAACTTTATTTTTTAAAAAAAGATGAATTTAAATTTGTCAGTTTTTACAAATTGTTGTTTTTAATGTCTGCTGATATATGACAAAAACAGAAGTAATTTTTTTGTCCAGCCCAATAATAGAAATAAATTGATAAAATTCAATATTTTTGCATCATCACCAATATTAGGCATACAAAAATAGTGATTGGTCAAGTATCTAATGCATTTTCTTATTTTCTATGTTTTGTATTCTCTTTACCAGGTGCATTGCTCAGTATCCAATGGAAGCCAGATCTTTGATCTTTCACCATTAATCAAAATGAGTGGATCTCATATTGCACAGGCATATTCCTATACACTTGATCCTGGATCATCCTTCTACATTAATATTTGTCGACCCTTAAATCCTATTTCTGGCATCTTATGTCCTCCAGGAGCATCTGCATGTCGCATAAAAGATGGTGAAAAACCAATAGTAAGTAGAGGAGAAACATTATTTTTGTAATAATTCTTGTACTGATGCCAACATTTAGCAGAAATACAACAAAACCAATGATTTTGTTGCTAGAGAATTAATTTTGCTTTTCTCTTTATTTTTTTTTCTTGTCCTCTTCCACTCATGTATTCCTGAAGCCATCTTTATGGAGTTAGTTCACCACCATGTCTGAAATTTAGCTTTAATGTTATGCATCAGCAATTAGACAAACTAACAATAGGTAGTCCTTTAAGGCTGACAATGTCAAATATATTTGTTTTTTTGTTTGTTGTTTTTTGTGTCTGTGATTTTTTTTTGATTTTTTTTTTTTTTTTTTTTTTTTTAGCAAGAGTAACTAGCTTGTATTGAAGGACCCAAGTATTTAGATATGTGGAGAACACCTTTTATGTGTTTGAAAATGAGGTTTTCCATCATGCACTGAATACATTTCACCCTGAGTTGCATTTCATATGCAAACAGGAGAACCATGATGCTCTTCTTTTTCTTGATGTCTTGTTACACAGATCAAACAGTGGATTTCTAACACTAAAATGTAATATATTATTGCTTTATAGGTTTATGTAGATTATTGTATATTATTGCTTTACAGGTTTATGTACCTGGTGGAATCCCTTCTGTTCAGAAGACTAGGGCAACAGAAATGTCCTGTCTATTTGCACTTGCCATGGATTGGTGTGGTGAGTGCCAAGTACTGACAGGCAAATTTCAATTGGTGTAAGAGGCTGTTATTTTTCCACCAATCTAGATATTGTTTTTTTATGCCCAATCTATAACAATCTGGAAGGCTGTTTTACCTAGCCATCATATTAGTTGTATAATTTACAAATTCAGATGTTGGTCTGCTGCTATGTTGGCAGAACCAGTCAAAGGTTGGAAGCACAGATCAGCTGTGTATCAGCCATTATTCACAAGGGAAAGGTAGACAATTTACATAGGTTTTTAATGTAACAGGTTCAATGATAGCTGAGCACTTTGTTAAAAATCAGTAGTATAGCTTGTCTTACAACCTGGACACGTTCTCCGTGCTAAGGAGGGTTAATACCAATTATTGCTTGAAGGTTTTTGGATCAATTTACATTAAGTCCTACCAGCCATCTTTTTGTAAGCAGAAATGGTTGGTGGGCTAAAAGGTAATTAACGTTTAATGTGTATTTTTTAACTTTATTTTTTTTCTTACATATAACATTGGTATGGTGTTTTATATTTTTTAGTCATTATTCTTTTTTTCTGTTTTTTGTTGCCCTCGATTTTTATTTTAATCTCTGAAGAAAGGACCAATAAACCAGTCTTTTTTTTTCTTAATCGTTATATTTCTGTATTGCCAATTTATAGTAATATATATTATGAATTACTTTTTAATATATCAGCTTTTATTATCCTTCTTTGAATTTTTATTTTACAGTGGCCAGGCATTTCATTCTCACTTTTATTTTTCTTTTATTTTTTTTTTTATTTCCTTCAGAGTCTTGGATCTGTAACCTCTGGTCCATATATAGACTCAAATGACCAAAGAGTGACCTTGAAGTATCAATATGGTGATAAGTGTCCTCATGATAATACTCAGAACAGAAGTAGTGTTATCAAGTTTACGTGTAATCCTGGACTTTCCTTGGTAAGAACCAAGAAATGTTTTTGCTTTTTCAAATTCACTTCAGCATAGATTATATGAGTAATAGTACACTTGATGAATCCTAATTCTTATCTACTGCTTTTTTTTTTTCTACTCTTTTCCTATTAAGTCTCTTTTGTTGATTTTTGATGAAAAAAATTTTGACAGAACCAAATTACTTGATATGATAATAATCCAGCTGTATTTTCATGTTTTGTTGGTGGGTCATATTGTACTTACTGAAAGTGTTTTGGAAACTTCTAGAGCATGCTTGTAGCTATTTTGTTATTTTTGCAGACATTTACTATTTTTTCCAGATTTGGGTTGTCCAAATCCATTAGTCTTCCTCTTGTCATGTCACTACAGATTCCCACAATGACATGGTCACATATACTATCTTTTAAATGCTTGTAATCGTATTATCCTGCTTGTGTTTGTATGCCTGTGAGAAATGAGAGAAAAGTTTCTCCTTCCCACTGTGTCCTTCTGTTGATTCGATACCTTCCATGAACTATATCTTTCTTGTCTTGAACATATTCTTAGAATTTTCTCACCAGTAAAATCTTTTTTTAACAGAATCCTTAATTTCCCCTCCTCTAAATATTCATATTAGTGAATATCCCCAACACCCAATTTGTAACACAGAAAACTTAAAATCAGTGGTTAAAATGAGAATTGAAATTAATGTGTAATGTTTTTATTATGATTATATAATTGGTTCCTCAATGTGTGTCAGTTTTAAGTTAACAGTCACCCCATGCAGACTTCTAACCAACAAAGTCACCCTGTTTTTCAATTCAATGTGAAATGTTTTCTAAGAAATGAGTGGAGAATCTTAGTTACTTTCTCAGCTCATACCTAATATTTCTACAGAACAATATGAACTCATGATTTGATATACACCACTAAAAATTCAAAAATGATAGTGTATCTCATATTCACTCAACTTCTGTATTAGAATGGGATAGAATGTGTTATACAATATGCTGTAAAATATCTATGTTGTCTGTACTACGGTGAATAATTTTTAATAATTATTATTTTTCTTTTTATAGGGCTACCCAGTATTACTGGAGGCAATTGAGGATTGTACATACATTTTTAATTGGGAGACATATATTGTATGTCCTGTCTCATTACCACATAAAGAAACAGATTGTGTATACAATGATACTCAGACCCTCACTGAATACAACCTCACATCCCTTAAGAATGCTGGAGTTCAAAAAGTAAGTAATTTGGGGTATGGGTACCTTAAACATCATTGAAATCTGACAAATATTGTTTAAAATAATCTGTTGGACATTTCAATTTCACTTATTAAAGGAGTTTTACCTGACTTAAATTCTTGAGGATAATATTTTAATATATCAATAGTATTTGACCATCTTGACTAATTATTAGCTTGGAATAAGTTTTCGTGATGATATAGTAACAATTCAGACTGGTCAGTCTTTTATTCTTATCCTCTGCTGCTTGATCCTGAATGCTCGAGTATGGGGTCAGTATTCAGTTACAGCCTGTTTTATTTTTGTCTGCCAACTGATCACCAGTTGGGTACTTCCTTGCAAGGGTGAGTATCACATTTTGATTCTACATCTCCTCACTCCCACCCCTTGCCATTGCATGGGCATATATAATGGTATTTGAAGAGAAATGAGTTATTTACAGCCCGGCTGATTGTATTGGAGCAACCTGGACAATGCTCAGGCGATTTTCGCTGGCTGAGTGATACTGCGTCCTTGGGTGATGTCATTTCACCTTCTCTGGTTTGTTGGACATGTGTATTGGATTCATGAGCCTCCCTGACTGTTGGTTGAGGGGGCTCAGGCAAAACACTAGGAATAAGAGTAAGGATCGTGGGTGTTTCAAACTTCCTGAGGAATCTATGATTCCATAAGGTGATTCTACCTGATCCATCAACCCTGATCCAGTATTGATGGTTAGGTAGAGTCTCAACAACTCTGCCTGTTGTGTCCCACCAATGACTGGTCAGACATTGTATTGAGACTGTCTCCCTTTTCTAGTGTGCACAGGGTATGCACTGTGTGGTTGTACATTTTTATTAGGTGGGCATTGCATTGAGACAGGCTCCTCTTTGATTCTGAGCTGAGGTTATCCATCTTGCATGCAGTTTATATAGCACAGGCTGGGATGGTATGAAGTCATGCAGTCGGTGGTGGAGTAGGATTTGTGCAGGGGATAACCCAGTGCTCTGGATGGACGTGTTCCTCTATTGAAGGATAGCCCATGCTTCCTGGTCATTATCCAAGGATCCCTGGGTTCCTGTGTTGCCATTCACTATTCTTGTGGCAGTCTTGACGGCTAGCTCTGCTCAGCCATTGAATTTGAGGATAGGCAATGGAGGGCAATCTGTGCTTTACAGCCCAGTCCTCCAGGAATTGCTTAAACAGGAGGGATGTGAAGGGTGGGCCACCATCACTGCTGAGTTCCTCCTGGGTGCCATAATTCTGGAATATCTCTCAACAAATTGAGATGCTCCTAGAGGCATTTGCCTGTTCATGACTCGAGTGATACAGAATGAACAAGCTAGTTAGCCTCTATCAGCACATGCAAGGTACTTATGATCCCCAACATGGAACGGGTCCATGACAATCTGCTGGAATGCCTATTCAGGTGATCGTATCAGGGTGATTGGTTCTTGTGGTTGACTTGGGGTGATGTTTGAGCATACCATGCAATTGGCCCTAACATTGCAGATTGAGGCATTCATCCCAGGCCAGTAAATAGAATCATTGGCATGGGCTTTCATGCTGACCATGCCCTGGTGTGCTGAATGCAGGCTACACAATATTTTTTTCTGTTGAGTGGTGGGGATTAAAATCCTTTGATCCTATAACACTAAGCTGTTTTCAGTACTAAGGCAGTGCCTTACCTCCCAATATTCATGGAGTTCAGGTACAGTAAGATGGCGTGTATTTGGAAATCCTTGCTGTGCCATGTTTATTAATTCTTTGTATTGGGAATCGCTGCATCCATTGGCCACTGGGTTGCGGGAAATGGCATCAGAGCCTTTTTGCGAATGAGTATGCCCAGACTACCTGATTGACCAGCTCAAACCAATGACCTTGCATCAGTGATTGTCTTTGGAACTGGGAAGTTTAATATCACCTACAGAGGGTGTTATCTGGAGGCCTCCAAACTGCACTACATCCTGGCAAAATTGGAATTTATCCCTGATGAGTACAATTCCGTTTTTCGCACAGTGAAGTACGAAATCAAAGGTGTGATAGAAGGCTTCGATTTCCAACTTCACCATGTGAAAAACGTATTCAGTTACAGCCTGATTTATTTTTGTCTGCCAACTGGACGCAAGTTGGGAACTTCCTTGTGAGGGTGAGTATCATATTTTGATTCTACAGAGCCATTTTTCTAAATACTGGATAGCCTCCCCTATGAAAGTGGCTCAGTACAAGACTAGGCCATGTTTAGTAAATATCTGATAATGTTAATGATATAGTTTCTTAAATACACTTTTAATTAGTGAGGACTGTATATTTGTCATTATTGATTGCAATATATTCTATCGCATTATTTCTATAGGAAATGCAGCATTTTAATCCTTGACAACATTACATCAAATCATGAGTCTTGTAAGTCATTATGGTCATAAGGACACCACATGTACTGTATCTATAGCAGCAGAGGTGTATCTACTACTATATTGCATACTATTTTTCAGATTCCTGATGGCTCCTCTGGTTTCTACTATTTAAGTGTGTGTGCCTCGGTTGGTAAGCAGCATAGTACTGTCTGTAAATCTTCTGGTGTCTGTCATGTAAATGCTGCGGGTAAAGAGATCTCTTTTGGTGATATGCACAAAGCCATGATTTCAATGAAGAGAGACCTTGTCACTTTAACTTATGAAAACGAAGAGAAATGTAATGAAAGCAGTGAGTGAAAATGTTTTTTGATTTATTTTAATTGAAATATTGCTGTCTAATTAAACCAATCATCTGCTAATAAATTTGTCAGTTATTTTGAAAAACTTCACACATAATATTTAATTGATCTGTCTGTAATGTTTTTTATTTATTCCTAACCAAAGAGAATTTCTTTATTTTTTGTTCTGTTTTGTTTCATTACAAAGCATACAGATTAAATGCTGAAAATTATGCAAACAAGTTTTAAGTCAAAAATTGACAAATTTCACTTTTATTTTCTTTTTTTAAACGCATTATTTTTACTATGCTGTTTTTCTTTCATTTCTACCTATGTGAGAGAGACCTTCACATGAGAGAACTGAGAGAAGACTATAGGAAATTCTTCTGTGTACTGCAGAGTATAGGACCTTTTGTAAAGGGATGCTGAAAAGGTTTTGACCTTAAGAAAAGGATAATCTAGGACCCTGAAATCACCATGCAGCTAAACATACTTGGCATATTGTTTTGTTTAATCCTTAATACAAAATAATCATTTAATCATTACACGACTGATTAAAGGAAGTGCTTCAGTCCAAGAACTTTTCAGCACCCCTTTTACTTTCAGATAAATTTTATATTTTATCTTGAGAGCCTATTTTTAATTTGTTGGAACTGCTCTCTAAACCTGACATTTTGCATAGTGATCGTCTAAAGGTCTCACAGCTGAAGACTGAAAAATAAAACTTACCTTCGGAACTCATGAATTTGTTTGTAATATGTTTTCTTAATTTTATTTCATTACCAATTTGAATTTTTTTGGGTTTGTTTGTTCTAGCTGGGTTGCATCCTAATAGCAAGATCCATTTTCTCTGTGATGCCAATGCAGGTCTTGGTAAACCGGTTTTCTTTGATGTAAGTTTTCCTATTTCTGAGATTTTGATTATTGGTAATTATGTACATTAATCCACTAGCATTGACAACCTATTCTGTATCAGTTTTCATTTAAATAATTAAGCTTTCTGAGACAAAGACATTAGGACTAAAGTATTTCTAAAAGGAAATATTATTTTAAGCTTTCTCTTGTAAAACAAATGTAGACAATTATTTTAATAGGATGGCCTTTAAACTTAATAGTTTCATACATCCTTTATTATATATAAGACAAAAGGATATATACTAATAATAAATGTTTATTCCCTCACCATTGGGTACAACTGAGATTCATGCTCATAGCAATCATTGGGCACAAATTTTATACTGTCCACTGTAAAAATTTTAATATTAATATCTATATGCTATTATTAAGATAGTGGAGCTGCTCCATTTATATATGGAAAAAAATATCAAAAACAAAATAGATTATAATATATACACACACTCACACACACAAGTGTATACAGGGTATGATGGGTAAAGATGTTGCTATCTTATATTTTTAATTTTTCACATGCGTGTTGTTTGTTTTTTATTTTGTCAACTGCAGTGTATAGTAGGGTCAATTGGGCATCGTCTGTGAGAAAAAGAGCACTATGACTCAATTTGCTCCATCAAAAGTTTGGAAACACTATGCTGTACTACTTGGCATTTGCACTGGAAGCTCCAATACAAACATTTCAAAGTCTTTGACTGTTAATCTGAGGATAGTGCAGAAGATTTGGAAAGAGTTGGATAAGTTTAATGGTGATTACGAAAGTACAGCACCTCGGAAAACTCACTCTGATCATTCTAATAAGAACTCTCAAATTTCTTGGTGAGGGCTTTGAACTCAACACAGAAACCTTGAGGAGGTAGTGCTGCCCTGGGTCAAGAGTGGCTGCTGGAAAACCATCTGGCAACAGGACTCTGCATCATGCCACACAAGCAGGAGAACCCAATCATGGCCGTTAGACAATTTCTGCAACCTCCTTGATTATTATGTGTGGGGGCATAGTTGATCGAGAGACTAACAAAACTCCTTGTAACACCAGAGATGAAGGCAAGTATTATGACAGTATTCACCAACTTAAACAAGGAGACCATCCGGAAGAGTTGCAGGAGATTCTGAAGTTGTCTGGAGGCCATGGTTAAGCCACAAGAACAACAAAGGACAGGAAATTGTGGAGAGCCATGATCGCCTACCTCCTGAAGGGACATGGCGCTTAAAGAAGTAACAAATTTATAATAAAATCAGCCATTTATGATATGGGCCATTAACAAAACTGATTGTAATGTAAAATTTATCTAAATGCATAATAATACAGTATAGATTTTAATACACCCTGTATTACTTCAAACATTATTTTCAGTAGATAACACTATTTGAAACAGATTCCCTATTTTTATTTTAAACAGTGTGTATTACATCTATCAGCCTGTGCACTCTCTGGCAGGGTTCAAACATGTGTCCCCCTTTGTAGGAGAAACCACCATTTGATCTGATGTGCTTTAAACTACTTGACCATGGAGCACATCACAGTCCACCAATGTTCTTTTTCCTCTTTTAAGGAAAATACACCAGTGTGGTTTCTCCTACAAAGGGGGATGCAATTTGGAACCTGGCCAGAAAGCACATTTTCTTTGAGTTTTCTCAAGTGTGCAGGTTGATAGATGCACACTGTTTAAGATAATGGAGCATCTATTTCAAACATGGGTAAACTAAAAATGACATTTGAAGTAATAAAAATGTTAAAAATAAATTTATTAATTCTTTAAAAATATACCACCTATATAGAAAATCTAGTTAATGTTTGTAGTGTTTATAATATTCTGATGTCCTATCAAATGATGAAATATTGTTGTCAAATAAATAAAATTATTATTACTTTAGAGTTAGATATCAAGTCCTTTATTTTCTTGTAATGGATTTATTACTTTTTTTTTTTTCTGTAATAGAGAATGACCTGTGAAACATCCTTCTTATGGAAAACAAAATATGTATGTCCCCCTGTCTTAAAGGAGTGTTATATTTCTCACCTTGGGAATAATTATGACCTTGGTGTTCTTGCAAACACACACTCTTGGAAAGTTATGGATATATCTGGAAACACGTGAGTCTTTTCTTTTTTTTTTTTTTTTTCACTCCCTTCAATTTTACACAATATCATCTTGATGACATGTTATTCTTATTTAATTAGTCTTTATTTTTCTTTTTTTTTTTTTTTTATCTGGATAACCAAATACTGTGAATATGTGTAGATATTTGCATTTTGTTTTCCTTTCTCCATATAGATGATGATGATTTGTCTGCTGGTATACTTGAAAAATGTTATAGTTGATAGTTTGAATCTTTTTAAACTGACAGAACACTGTACTGAGATGAATTTAGAGCAATATATGTGTTACTTCAATGTAATATTTTCTCTTGAACCAATCAAAGGAAAACTTGGGTTCCATAGCAAACATTTATCTATAATATTTATTCTGCTTGTTTCATCTTTCCTGCATTTGAAGGTTAAACATTCAGTAATAGCATATTTCTAAATACATTGTGCATTAAAATTTAATTAAATGAATCTTGCCGGGATTTTGAATCCCTAACAAGAGATATGCAAGCAAGTGTTATCTTTTTAGGCTTGCATTCTACTGTTTAGAGTAGATGCTGAATTTACAGATCGTGGCAGCTATAAGGGAGATGTGATTAAATATACTTTAATGTTTAAGAAAAATTTATTTGGTATTATTGTTGCAGTTTTTTTGGATATATGTACTAGTGAGCCAGTCAAAATGACTTGACTCATTTTATAGTCCACCAAGAGAAGGGTTAACCAATCAGAAGACATAGAATATTCAATCCGTCATGTATAAAGGCGGCCATTTTGTTTACTCTCTCCGAATGTCCAGTGCCAACTTGTCAGTTGAAAGAACAGAAGGAAGAACTACTGAACTATGCTCTGCTACTTTACCGGGATATCCACTGCTAACCTGAACAACACTTCCCTACTGTCTTTGAAATATTCACTGCTAACCTCTGGATTCTATACTCAAAGATGACCGTCATCATGAACAACAATTATTGTTTAGGTAATAAGCATTATAACATAGCACAAATAAGCTATATTGCAGAAAAAGGAATTTTCAACAATATATACATTTTTTTTTTTGTTTTTATGGTTATTTTTTAACTTATCGAAAATGACATTCTTGTATATGTAGTTATGAATAATATTATACCTTAATTCCTTTTTTTTTTTTTAATTAATAACTATTTGTGTTCAGTTGTTGATATTAATAGCCATCAGCTGATGTGTTCAAATTTTGGAATAATGCAATAAAGTTTAAATTTCATCTCTTTGATAGATTTTGTGATCTGTTAACTTTGAAATTTTATTACAGTGACTACCATATATACTTGTGTATCATACAACTTTTGAAGACCGCATTTTGAAGCTGATTTGACTACAGTAAATGGATATATAGTTTGGTCAACAGTGTAGCCAGGGCCAGCTGTACTTATGCTAATTTTATATCTTGTGTATGATGCGACCCCCCCCCTAAAATTAGGTTCAAAATTAGGTTTTCAAAAGTCACATGTGAGTATTTCCAATAATTGAAATGATTACAAAGAAAATTTTTAATTTAGATTTCCTTGTTTAATGCATCTCAATATTATCTGGGAAAAAATCACTAATTTAAACACTTACAACCTAAAACACAAAAACGTTTCAAAATTTCCAAAATAATTTTACTCTATGTACAAGGAGTAGAGGGTGATAGCAGTATTAGGGTAGTGACATGGGTGTGCTGAAAATAAATGCTTCTCAGCCTTTTGGCTAAGAATAAAATATATCGGCACATGACTGGATAAACTTCATTTGTTGTGTCTTTATCTATGGACAGAGCGTAACAGACAATATTATTGTGAGGTGTCCATTCTTGGAAAAATATTCTAAGTTGGTTTGGTTTTGTTTAAAGAGGGAATAATGTTTGATTTTTGGATTTTGATCACTGTTCAATTGCAAATAGATTAAATTTGCAATTATTTCCCTTTGTAACTGCTTTTTCAAATTTTCTAAGTTTAATTGAAGGTGCTATATGCAAAATTAAGTTTTGAACAGCGAATTTTATCTTGTAAACTATTTGTTTCTGAGTTCTTTATCCAATTGAGAACTAAAAGAAGTTAAGCTATTTGGGAACGTCTTTCATATCTATTTAACCTTTATTTTTATGACATTGTTTATAAACTGGTAATCAATTGGGGTATAGTTTAGTTGTGTCTCTGTCTGCCTTTATATGAAGGGTGACTAAAATTGAACTTAATTTTTCTCTTCTTCCCTAAGGTACTGGATCAATGTGTGTCAAGCCCTCCATAACCGACCAAAGTCTCCACAATGTCCTGGCAATGCTGCTGTCTGTATGCAGAAAAGAGATAAAAAATTGATTACTCTTGGTACCGTCTCTTCCCAAATTTTATATATTGATAGTAAGTGCATTTTAGTCCTCTACTCAATTACTCTTTAATGTAGTTCTTGATAAAGATTTTTTTTCCCCCAATCAAAATTGGGTTAAACTACATACAACCACCAGCTTACCCAGACATTCTGTTGGTTACTTAGTATGTATATTTTTTAAAATTCTTAATATATTAAAAAATAATTTACAAGTAACTAGAGTGCAATTCATACCTTTTTAGGACTACTCTAATATCTACAGAGTGTTCTAAAAGTAATGGCTCATCTAAAACCAACTACTCAAATCTCAACATGTCTTGAAGCCAGCATAGATTCCTGGACAACTCCTCCAGATTTCTTTCCATTAACATTGAACTTTATCAAGACATGTGGTGATCAGTATCTTCATGACTGAAAAAAAAATGTTTTGAAATGAATAGCAATCACAATGAATGTGCATTTTGTGAATTTGTTCATTTCGAGACAAATCCAGCATTACTTTTGGAAAAGCCTCTATATTTTCTACCTGTATATAAAGCAGAAGATTTAACAGTAAAAGTAAACAATTGTGTTTACTATGCAACTGCTTGTGTTTTCACTCACTATCACAATAGGCTTATAACCACATCATGTTGAAACACTGGTTCCTGTATGATCATTGAAGTTAAGTAACGTTGAGCCTGATACCAAGTTGGGTGACTGCTAGGGAATACCAGGTGGTGTAAACTTGGATGTACAGGTAGTGTAATGGATAACAACTCAGAATTGTTAATCAGAAAGCAGAGTTCCAATTCCTGTTGGGTTCATTATATTCACTTATGTGTAGATACTCTTGGGAAAGGTGTGAATCCACTTCTCCTCCCAGCTATGGGTTAGTTAGTAAGACTTGGATCACTAAACTATTATTATCTCAAAAAAAAAAAATCCTTACAATGAAAAAATATTTTCTGGCTTTAAATAACCTGCAATGAGTTAAGCTGTAAAAATGAATGATTGAATTAATTAATTAAAAACATTGCAATAAACGCATTGGATGAGTGAACACAATAGATTTTTAATGGCTTTTAGATTTCCTGCTTTTTAGGAAAAAAGCAATGATAATTTCGATTAATTTTTTGTCTAGAGAGAAAATGGGAGTTGTTTTTCTTTGTTTTCATGACATTTTACATAAAATCATTTTTTCCCACTTTTTTTATTGTCAAGTTCGGACACCAGTTAACAATCCTGTGATAATTTTGCAATACTCAAGTGATAAACCAGTTTGTGCCAATAACAAAAATGCAAAGATAATCATCAGATTTTCTTGTGCCAATGTTATGGGAGCCCCGCATTTCAGGTAAGCAATCTTGTAATGGTTCTCTATCTAGGATGTAATAAATTTGATTTTTTTTTTTTTTTTTTTTTTTTTTGTTCTAGTAGGACACATAAAATATGTTGAAAATTAAAGCTTCTTGAAAAAGAAAAAAGTACACGAATATGAAAGAATAGTCTTCATTTAGCTGACCTTTATGATATAAATCTATCTTTTGTGAAAGAAGTGGATAATGCAACCATAAGAAATCTTTCTTTATTTGAACCCAATTTAAAAAAAAGAAAAGAATGGAGGCATCCACATCATTTCACGAAGTCATAATCTTATTTGAGTGTAATATAAAACTGTCAATAATTGGTTATATATTTAGAGCTAAGTATTGTCCTAAATTTTGCGTGGTGTACAATTTGGAGATTTTTTTTTTTCTTTTTTCAGCAAGAAAAATGAAGAAAACTGCACTTATGAATTTATATGGAAAACCCGAATAGCTTGCAAAGAAAAGAGGTAAATTTGAAATTTATGACTTCAGTAGTTTTTTAATTAGATAATTTTAATTAATAAATTAATTAGATGAGATTTATTTCTATTATGTCCAAAATAAACTTACTTGAAATATTCAGGGAAATTTCTTATTAATTCTACTGTATTCTGCCTAATAATGTTTTACTGAAAACACTTGAAAATGTAAAGACAAAGGATACATATGCAATTAGTAGTTGTACCAATGTCTATAGTCATATTTGATCCTATGATCAAAGCATTATGACAAGTATCAAAATAATTTCAAAGAAATTTAACATGTTTAGCACTTTTGTTTGTGACCAGATTATCTTTTTGTTAATAAAGATTATCAGAATATGAGACATGACAAATACTTCTTTTTTTTTTTTTTTTTCAATTTTAAGAGTTCCTGTTAATGATGTGAATGGTATTCTTACTGATCCAAGAACAATGGGCAGAATTTATTTTGGTAATCTGACTCATGGAAAGTAAGTACCTATTTTCTATAGATATTTTATACCCTTACTTTAATTTATGTTTGACTAAAAAAACAAAAAAAAAACAAACAAATAAATGTAATAATATTGCAAAAAAAAACAAATAAATGTAATATTTCAAGAAAAAAAAACAAATAAATGTAATATTTAAAAAAAAACAAACAAATAAATGTAATAATATTGCAAAAAATAATGTAATGATTACAAAAAAAATAATTGTACTGAAAATATTACCTTTTTGAAAAAATAACTGATTATTCTTTAAAATTTTCTAGAAGGTTTAGAAAAGTTTACACACACAATATATGATTAATCTGACTGATAAGTAATTGCTAAATCTATCAGCAAAGTTTAATATTGGAGATTCTAAAATTAAACTAGTAACAGACTTTTACAAAGAATCTATACAAGTAATTTAAAAAATGAAAATAAAATTTAGCAAAAAACTCATTTTGGTGATAATAATAAAAATCTAAAAAAATTCAACCAAACTATTATTGGTGATATTTACTGAAAAAATTATTTTTGCTATTATTCCAGAGTATGAAACTTTCTTTTGAAGTTTTTGTTATTTCAGTAAGAATTTTTTTTTTTTTTTTTTTTTTTAATTTCCATATGATTTTAATGTTCGGTTTACTTTTCAGGACATTCCATGCAAAAGAATTTCAGGGTCCTGTATTATTCAAATATGATATCAATTTTGATGGGCGTCTACGGCTGGATCCAAGTAAGGAAAACTCACAAAAATGCCAAGGTGCAGCAGTTTGCCAGACAAAACCATCTGATACATTTTACTACAAAAACCTGGGAAATGCTCAGAATAAGAATTTTTACTTGGATGGTAAGTTTTTCACCTAAATGCTATAGAATATTGCCAACAGGAAATTTGGGCTACCTTTTTTTTTCTTTTACACCATTTTACTTAACAAAGTAACTGTAGCAATAGTGGCACTAATTTTAATTTTTGGAACTTTTTTTTTTATAATAATGCAAAACTAAAATGAGTTTCATTTTTTCTATCAAATTTAAGGATTATTTTTATTGATCTTTTAAAATACATCTCTATACAGCAGTGTTTCTCTTCTGTTAACTTGGGGTGCACTATCTCTCAGGGAGGATTAGTGCACCTAAGTGCACTGGTTGAGAAACATTGCTGTACAGGTTTAATGTTAATCCATTAACTGTGGCAAGAGCAGATGAGTTGTAGTTTTCTAAATATAACTAACTTTAATTTTTGAATCAATTAATGAATTTTTTTTCTCTTATTTAAATATGATTTTGAATAACTTGAAAGATTTAGAAACTAAAAATATTCCTTATTTTATATGGTAGATGTATAATCCAACATCAGTCTTTACATATGCTTGTACTTTTGTCTTCTATCAGCTACAGAAATGCCATGTCAAATCAAAGATCTTTTTGGTTTTCTTTCTTTTTGAATGATTACAATCATTAAAACAACATGCTTTGAGGGGGGGGAACTAGAAATTAATTTCTTTGATTGGAGAAAGGAACACTTATTTGATGTCCTTGACCCACAGATAGAACTAAATTTCCATAATTCATATTGAGTTATATACATATGTGTAACCAGTAGAAATTTCTATCGTTGAGAGTTGAGCCATCAAACAACAATGTCTGAAGTTCCTTTCATCCACTGTTAATGGGTTAAGATTGGCCATAGAGACATTACTTGTGACATGTTGTTTGCAGCATCAATATTTACTAAACTTAGATAATGCGGGAGGGCTTGCCTGCCATGAATAATTAGCATTTGAAGTCTAGGCCTTTTACCTGGGCTCAATAATAGGCAACACCAGTAGCCTCTGGTCATGTCCTAAAAAGAATAAGATTTATATTTGAAACTTCACACCTAAGACTAATAATCTGTGGTAAATTTGCCTTCAAAACATGACCCGTTTATTTTCCTCCCTTCAATTTCCTCATCCACTTTACCATTGTTACCGATATGTTCCAGTAGTACAAAAAGGTGCTGAAAATTTCTTAGCCTTACCCACCCAACTCCCAATTACTTTTGATAAGATTGAAAACATTTTACAGCAGCTTAGTATATGGGGGAAATCCTTATTGTACACAAAATGACTGCTATATTTTCTGATTTCCCTCATCAAACGTTATTTCTTTTTGTGTTTGCAGTAGATTTCCTGGATTTGGAAATAACCTCCCCAGAAAAATGCCGTTCAAATCCATCAAAAAATGTGAAAACAATTATTGAATTCTTTTGTAGCCATTTGGCCAGTGCAGTAAGTAAAACTTAAAATGGTTACGTTGGTTAGTTCTCCATCTGTTTCACCTTTGTGCCTTCAAATGAATGTGTGAAAAGGAGTTATTCCCTTGACACAGTGATCAATGTTTCTTTACAAGATTATAAAAATATGCAAACCAAGTACAATGCAATATTTATTTATTTTTATAAATATTAGTTACTATTTCTTTAAGAAATAAATTTGAAAAATTTCTTATTCAAAATTACATAATTATCAATATATTTATATCAAGTACAATACAATATTTATAATCTACCATTTTATAAATAACTATGAAAAAAGGTTTTTTTATTCACTCTAATAAATAGTGTTCAATATCTTTGTTGGCGATTATCAAGAATAAATCCACTTTAATGTTTGGATTTTATTAATATTATAATCATTGTTTTTTAAAACAATAAACGTTACCAAGAGTCAAAAGTGTATACAGTGATAGTGATGTCAAGGGAATAACTATCCTTTTGATACACCATTATTTTCATATTGTATTATGATTGTTGATTTATTTTTAAAGTTTAAAATAAAATTAAAAATATTTGATATTTTTTTCCCGCATAGGTGTGTTAGAAAAACATTCAGATTTTCTTTCTCAGCAGGGAATAAATAAACCCATTTTTTTTATTGCAGACAAAAGCAACTGCTTGTATAATTGGGAAGAGTTTGTCTGTTATACATTACTAAACACTTCAGTGTATAGGCTGAAAATTTGATATGCATATTTATTGCATTCAAAAGAAAATTGTTAATTATTGTTTGTAACCTGAATGAGTAGGACTATAATTACTAATGTGTAGGAAAAAATGTTTTTGAAAAGGCTTTCATAGAAAACCTTTTCCTTCAAAATATCTCTTTATTGAAAACCTACCAAGAACAAATTAATTATCTTTTTTTACTGTCAATTTATCATTGAAAAAAAATAAGTTAATGATCTTTATTCCTAATTAGACATTTCTTGGATCAGCAAAAAATGAAATATTTCAAGGACTATTTATTAGGAACTAGCAGTAGAGCCCGGCGTTGCCCAGGGATGTAACAGTAAGAGATAGATCAAGTATCGACCATCATAAAGACTGAAAAATAAAATTGACAAAGATTATTGTTTAAGGTTGACGGACACGCATGTCTTAATTAGTTTTTTTTTTTTTACGAATTGGTCAAACCCAAACTCAAACAAAAACATTGTTTACAATCGTTATGAGTCTATCGATTGGTGAATAGAATTTTATTATAAACAATTGTCTTGTAAATGGAATTTTTAAAGCATTCTGAATGTAAATAAAGAAAAAAGTGTGCAAGACAATAAGAAATACTACCTGCCGAAAAAAAAAGTGGATGTTTGTTTTATCGGCTGAAAAATGTAAGAAATCCGATCCCATATATAAAGGAACACACACACACACACACACACACAAACAACCTGGGTTTTTTAACCTAAGTCACTCCACGGAATCGCTAAAACATAGAGCATAGTCTGATGAAAAAGACGCTAAAGTTTATGAAAACAAAATTTTATCGTCAAAATGCTTATGTTTTTTATGAAGAGGATAGACTAAATTTTTTAATTATTTTTAAAAAAATTTTCCATCTTTTTAGAATATTCTAAATTTTGATTTAAAAACCTTGTTTTTCTTTGTCGCAACAAGGGTAGTAAATAACATAGATAATTTTAGCGCTTTTTTTTTGTATTTACACACATTAATTTGGAAAATCTTGCAAAATAAAATAATTGTCAGATGTTAATGAAACTTTCAGAAACTATTCACAGATGATCGAAATTATTATAAATATGTTTTTTTTTGTTTTTTTTTATTAAAGTCATGGCAGAAATATTTTTTTTATATTTATTAACACCCCCATAACTAATTTTATGAAAAACTCGAGAAATTCGAGACCATCGGTTTTAGTGATTACAATAGTTAAAAGCACAAGGCTTTGAAGAATGCAAATCATGTATTTTTTTTTTTTGGCCAACATACCTGAAAATCAGCTGTGAATTGTAACATACAAAACTCAATAAAATAAATATATTGTTTAGTTTCAAATGCTTTTATTTGTTTTAATTTGTTTTTATGAATATGGACAATATTTTCTGGAAGCAAAAAATTTTGTGAATTTTTAATACAATTATTTCTTATTTCTTTAATTTTAAAAAGATTTTTAAAAAATGTTTAAATTGAATTTTAAAAAATATTTTAACATTAGTTAAATGCAACATCAACCTTTCAAAATGTCCGTGTGAGATTGTCATTGTCTAGCGCTTTGAAAATTGTATAATTTGGACCAATCAGATTAGCCATGGTAATTAAGAAATGTAATTTTTGTGTTTATAGTCGGACAGTAATTATCAAATGGAAGACCAACCAGAATACAATTTAGTTGCATTATTTGAGTTCAGCATTGTTCTCCGCTGTTAAGCCCTTTACTTTTTTTGAAAACACGTATGGAGAAGTTAATTTGAGTTTTCAATTTCAACTGAGAAGGGTACCTACAAGTAACAGTATCATCTTATGAAATTTAACTACTGCTAAACTTTAATTTATATGACCTTATTTTTATATTAATCTCAGTTATGACATTTTTCCATAAATGAAATATCAAAATTAATAATAAAATGAATGGAAATACAAATAACACAGTAAAATGTAATAAATGTACATAAAATTATAGTATTTTATGTACACTTCTGATAAAATTTCATAAGAAAGGTACCTAAATTAATTAGATACCTTTTTCTTATGAAATTTAATCTCACTATTAACAGTCTTATTTTTTAATTTCTTTATATTTTCCATAAAGCATCGTAAACGTAAAAATGAAAGCTAAGTACAAAAAAAATATAAAACATTATAGCGCTGAAAGTTTTCCTTAAAAGTAACAAGGTAAATAATTTGTTCACTTAAATAATTTCACTTCCTTCCATCCGTAGAAAGAATTACCCTCCCGTAAGTTATCTAAACGTCATGAATGTGCCTTTCGTCAAAGGTTATGACCTGCTTTGTTTTATTTTCAAATTACATTTTTTCGGTGCAGAAGCTAAGTTAAGCTTGGTTCAAAATATTTTAAATAAACAGTATAATTTCTGTTTTTATTAAAATCAGTTTTGAAAAAATTGATAATTGATTTTTAAAAGAATATCAAGTAAAGATTTTAATCTTTTTTATCAAATCGAAAAAATGATTGAAAATGATTATCTGTCCTTTTTTTTTTTTTTTTTTTTTTACCCCAAAAAAAAAAAAAAAACAATATTTTTAACAAAAATTTCATTCAGACGTGCTAGGAACGATTAAAAAATGTAAAAAAATACCCCAAAAATACTTTGATCTTTCCTTAATAATAATATGAACATTAGACGATAAAATTTTGTTTTCGTCAAGTTCGGCGTCTTTTTCATCATGCTATGCTCTTTTGTTTACATTTTCATAGGTGAGTTGTCCCCCTTTCATTCTCACAATGTGTCTTAATCGTGTTTTCAAATTGATTTTCTTAAAAAACAACTGTGTTTTTCCCATTTTCAGCGCCGTTAGAATCACCAAAAGGTAATTTTATGTAGTCCTGTGAAGTTTTGTTGAAATCGGCTAAAAAATGTAGGAAATTCAATCCAACATATAAACGTTACAGACACACATACACACACACACACAACCTGCGTTTTATAATAAGTAAGATATATAAGTTTTACATTGCTACTCGAAAATTGTGGGGTTGTAACCAGCTTTGATCTAGAGCTTAACGACTTATCAGGTGTAGAGGAGTACTTCAACTAGTACATTTAAAAGGAAGAAAAAATAACATTCCTGTTCAAGTGTTAAGTCGCCTAAGAATTTATGTACTAGCAAAACAATTAAAAAGGGAGAGGTAGTCATTAGAGATAGCATGTTGTTTCAGGTATCTACAAGTGTGATTTTCATATATATATATATATATATATATATATATATATATATACACAAGCTGAATTACTTGTACCTTGCTGCATGTCATATTTTTTGTAAGAAAATGATGATTGATTTTAAATCATTGTTATAATTTAAAGAGAAAAATGATGCATTTCAATATTGCTCAATGATCTTGCTGATGTGACCTCCATCTTCTGGCTTTCTCCTTTTGCATAGGAGTCATTCCCTTGTTCAAATTTAATTTAAATCAAAGGGAAAAAAAAATTTAATAGGGGGTTTGTGCACCCTGAGGATCCTCTTTGATCAAAATGAAATATACTTATCCAAGTACCCTGGGTAATGTAGTTCCAGAATATATATTGTTATAGGGATTTATCTCCAAAACCCAAAAGGAGTTCAATAAGACAGCCAGACAGACGGAGGCTATAACTTTACATATATAGTAATACCTTGAGATACTCATGTACTGACGTATGACTTTTTTGAGATATGAGCTGGAATTTGGCAGATTTTTTTTTTTTTTTTTTTGCCTTGAGATACAAGCGAGCTTCAGTTAAGCATCTGTAGTGCATGTGTTCACCTCTGCTCTGGAAGGATCTTGTGTTTGTTTTTTTGTTTTTTTTGTTATTTTGCAAAATTCCTTAAGTGGCACCATGGGTCTGAAGAAAGTAGTGTAAAGAACAGTGGTGAATTTTTAGAGGCCTGGAATAGATCAGAAGTATCCCCATTAATTTCAATGGGGAAAATTGATTTAAAATACAGTTGTTTTGAGTTATGAGCTCGGTCTTGGGCTGAATTAAAATTGTATCTTAAGGCACAACTTAAATAAATAAAAAAAAAAATATATATATATATATATATATATATATATATATATATATTTTGAGAAATTAATTTTAATTAAAAAGGAACAAAGTAAAATGGGGATTAAGCTTTTTAAAAAAATGCTTGGGATTAAAATTGTATAATAATTATTTTAGTTTTGAAAAGGATAAACCATTTTAATTTAATAAAAATTTCAACATACATTGAAGAGTTTCAGATTTATTCTCCTTTGCTAAATGGATATGGTATCTGTTTTTGCTAAATATGTAAAGCAGTTTTTCTAGATTTGACAAATTATTTATAATTTAATTTTATTTTAAAAAAAAATTACTAAATTAAGATGGATAATTTTAGACTAATTTTGACTATCAATTCTTCTATTGTAGGATCATCCAAAATTTGTGTATGAATCAAATGAATGTTTGTTTCTTTTCACGTGGACATCTTCAATTAGCTGTTTTCATTATGAGTAAGTTTTATGTTGGATTTCATTCTTCCCTGCCCTTACATTCTTTGTATTATTTAATTTTACTGCAAGAAAACTTAACAATTGTTTGTATGTTGTTTCAATATCACATTATAAATTGAAATCCTATTGTCATCTCACCATGCTGTAAGAGTCTCCTCTTCTCTCTCTTTGGTGAGTGTTTATATATTTACTTATCATACTGTTTTTCCCCCACACATACACATCATGAGCACAGCTGGGTCAACTATATGTCAGGAGCATCTGTCTGCTGATGCATCTAGCTTCTTTGATGATCTAGTGTGACAGTGCAATGTCTATTCTGGCATGCTCTAAGATGTGTGTCCAGTATATTGTTACAGGTGGTATATTGGCCTGCAAACAGATATTGAATGACAGAAGACAACAAACAAAATGAAGACTTGAGTAAAAAAAATTATATTGCCAAGTTTATTTTTGTTAATGAAAATACATCAATAAAAATAAGGTATAGTGCACTAGGACGAAAAAATCTCTGCAAGCTCATGTAGACAGTGAGAAGAGCATTGTCCTGAGAAGGACAGTTTATTGCATATCATTGCTGCTTGTGAGGATAGTAGGAGCTGGAGGCCTGCAGATAGCGATGGCTGGAGCTGTTGGCCAACTGGAACAGATACTACACCTTGATCCTAGTCATTTGGGCCATGGAAGGTATTATTTACCCAAGTATCCCTACTGAGATGGGATGTGACACAAGGTCGGGTTTAATGTGGGGGACCTGAGCATGTACACTCGGGCCAGGGACAAAAATCTACTTTGTCCTCTACAACTGTTAGTTGTGCTGGCATCAGGATGACTACCAATTCCCCCCCTCCTCTCTAGTCTGCAAAACGTGCTTTATTTGTGCTTTGAGGCCTTTTATATCATGAATCAGTTTTACAACGATCACTTGTTAAGCTTTTTCTTCCAGTTGTTTTTTTAAAAAAAAAAAAAAAAAAAAAAAGTTCTGACAGGATACGACAACCTATGGGGTCATTATTTACATTATTTGGACTATTGTCCTCATCTTTGTCACCATATTTATTACAACATTTCGGCTAGTGTACACTCTGGCCTTTTTTAGGTGGTTGGAATGTCAAACTTAACCCTTTATTTTGCTCACTGGCGTAGATTGTTCTAGTTCCACCTGCCATGTTTAATGGATGTCAGTTATCAGTTATCTCCTGGTTATTTCCCTCTCCAAGTTCTCCACTGCCTTAACTGGGTATTGAACTCACACTCTTTGGGTCCTGTCACTGGATCTAACCAACGCCTTTATCCACTGTGCCATGTGTCCTTGGCACAGTGGATAAAGGCGTTGGTTAGATCCAATGACATCTGTTGGTTAAGGCAATGGAGAACTTTCAGAGGGAAATTAACAGGAGATAACAGACATCCATTAAACATGGCACGTGGAACTAGAACAGTCTACCCCAGTAAGCGAAATAAAGGGTTAAGTTTGACATTCCAACCACCTGAAGAAGGCCGGAGTGTACAATGGCCAAAATGTAATAAATATGGCGACAAAGATGAGGACAATAGTCCAAATAATGTACATAATACCTCATCTCAGAAATATAGACAGATATGTGGTCATTACAGATCAACATCAACAAAGGTTCCTGATTGATATTAAATCATGATCAACCTCTCTCCCAGGTTCCTCATTGACATTCAATTCTGATCATATATTTCTTCACATGAATCATATACTGTAAATTAATCCTTTTTAATGACTTTAAATAACCAAAAAACAATAGAAGTTAGAGTTTTATGTTTGTTTGCTTGTTTTTGTTTGTTTTTTTAACTGACAGAATAAAAAAAATTGTTGAAAGATGCAAAACAAAATTCTAAGTATAATAAATTCTTGATATTTTTCAGCACAATTCCACCAAGAATCAAAGAAGACACAGCAGATACTCATTCAACATCAAACACGACACTGACTGTCATTGGTGTGTTTTCTGGCCTTCTTGTTTTGAGCATTATATTATTGGTGTTAAGCCGACCAGAAAAACGGTATGTTTAAACCTTTTTATACATGTCCGAATTATTCATATAGAGAGATTCGAAGAGAATTGAGTTATCAATGTTCAGAAAAACAAAATGATTGCTGATTCTGACTTGGCTGAAGTTGCTTTCACTCATTTTACACTAATCCAATCCATATATTACAAGATATATGTTGCGATGAAGACCCCATTTATATGCTTTCACTAACCCCTGGCAAAATGTAGCATGAATTTCACAAGTCATCAAAAGACCTCAAGAGTTAAGCGAGTTCATCTTGATGACTATCCAGAGATACCTGACATTGTAGAAGCAGGATTTTACACACAAGTAGATTGTAACGCTATGTCCTATAATTACTTGTGTGGAATCATCTTAGGCAAATATGATGGTCATACTATTTTTCAGAAGTCTCTAGAATAGTGGTTCTCAACCTTTTTTTTTTTTTTTTTTTTTTTTTTTTTTTTTTAACCAATGCACCCTTTCCACCATAAGTCAGAATGTCTTTCCTACTGCTTCCAAGATTGTTCAACTCAAAAGGTGCATTCCAAATGAAGGTGCATGTATTATTGAAAATCTTCATACTTTTCCATATTAGTACGTGTCTGTGACACTGAGCTGTCGGCCTGTGGTCAACTCCCTGTTGCGGTGCAAAACTGTAATATTTCTCCTACCAGCATTTGGGGTTGATTCTTAGTCACTGCCACCAGCCTGTGTCCCATTCGATCAGTGGTCGTTGCTACCCGGCGGAATCCTTTGGTCAGGGTACCAATTGGGATGGTTGGTCAATGCTAACCGGTTTGACACCAGCTCTGTTGTTACCAGCTCACTTCCAATATCTGGTTACCGAAGTAACTGCTTTGATCTCGAGTCTAACCTATCCACGTTGGGATTTTAATCAGGTGTCGGGCCATAGTGTAAGATGAGTCTAGACCAGAGGTGATATCACACAAGCATAAAGAAAAGAAGCAAATAAAAGCCCAAGAGGTTCAAGTATGTTAAAAGTAACAAATTAACTTTTATCCGTCTGTTATATACAGGAGTGTGTATTTTCTCCCAACCCGTTTTCTACGGAGTGTGACACTTTTACGCTTCTTAAGCAAGTTCTTGTCTTCTAAGTCAACTGCTTCAGGTTTTAAATGCTGGTTTAGCTTTGTTCGTCAGTATAACTTGCTATTGGTAGGATAAGCAAAGTCGGAGGTTATGGAATCTCTCAGTCAGCCTTCTGCAAGGCAACACCCTGGTTCCTGCAACTCCAAAGGCTCTAACTGGCGAACTACCCTAAACAGCCCAAGGATGTTCATTTATATGGATACTGACCAAAATCCAGTCTGGTGTTTTCAGTGAATCCTGATTTCTGACAAGAAACCTCTTTGTTGTCAGGCCAAGAAAATTGATTACTTCCCATTTTGGAAGATTAATCACTTTCCATTTTGGGGGGATCCCTTTGTCCATGAGGAAAAGTTTGAGGAGAGCTATCCTCTCATATTGATACCTCATACCAATACTTTCAGTAGGCGTTAATAATTTCTCAATCTTTCTCATCAAATTACCTCCGGCTATCAGAATTGCTACCACTCGACCAATGGTGTCCCAGAATAACCCAGAATTTTTTTTGTTTACAAAATTCTTTTTCCCATCGGCCAAAATTTTTACAAATCTCACATGGCCACTTAAAATCTCTCAGATTTTTTTGTCACTCTGTGTCTTCTTAACCAGCACTTTTTACAAACTCCATCCATCAGCTGTCAAAATCTGCCATCTGGTCCCTTCATGAAGTTAGCGGTTACTGGAACCCTTGGCTTGAGAAAAAAATAAATTGATAATAAATTTCTTTATCTCCTAATCGGCAATTCTTCCGAGATATTTTTCTCATGCCAAAATTTTATAATCGACACATGGCTACTTAGTGTCAGTACTGAAGATGACATCTTGGAAAAGTAAATAATATTAATTCTCTCTACCCCGTATCAGCAAATAATTTTGGAATATTTTCTCATGCCAAAATTTCCACGATTAGCATATGGCCCTGCCATTGCTGGCACTTAAGATGATATCTATTTCTCAGGTTTTTCGTTACTCATTACTTTTACAAATATAATTAATCAATTGTCAAAAGCTCACATATGGCCTTTTGTGAGTCCACTGTTTATGCCAATTCTCGGGTTTTTGAGAAAAGTAACTTGATCTTATTTTTAACGTAAAAAAAAAAATAAAAATCTCGGGGTATCTTTTCCGTTCTCAATATTTTCTTGTGTAATTTTTATGGTTAATTAGTTAATTGATTACCATAGCTAAATAGTATCATGTATATTTACAGTGATTATTTTTATAAAGGAGTTTTACAAGTTTAATAGCAATAAAAAAATGTTGATGGACTTTTAAACTTTAATACACTAATTTGTTGTAACTAATTTTCACCTAAAACATAATTTAATAAACAAAATGTTCATTCTGCAAATGTTTCAACATTCATTTGACAAAGCTTTGCTACAAAATACATGCTGAGGCCTTTCTTCTGATGAGGATGATAGATACAAATCCATAGTGAATCATCATCTCTTTTTGACATTATGTGCATAACTCTGACATCATTTCTAAATTAAATCCTCCACAAGGCAAGAGGGTGCGACAAGATCGCTGGCATCATCCTAAATAAACATGCTCCTGAGCTGGCTCCTCTTCTCTCCAAACTTTACAACAAATGCCTTGCAGCTTCCTGGATGTCCTCCTCTGCAGTTTGATTTTTTAAGTTTTCTAGAGAACACTGACCACTGCAAATTATCACCCTATACTTATGTCTTTTTGGCAAAGTACTCTAGGCTCTAATCAATGCCAAATTAGTTAAGCATCTTACTTCACACAATTTTCTTTCAGACAATCAATATGGTTTTTGTTTCACAAGGTCTACCGCTGATGTGTTAACAGCCATCACCAAATTTGTTTGTCAAGCCTTAGATAAGAATGGCAAAGCTCGGGCTTCAGCTTTAGATATCTGAAAGGCATTCAACAGGCTTTAGCATGCTGGCTTTCTATGCAAGCTTAAGGGCAACAGTGTCACAGGATGAATATTTGGCTTAATTTAAATTCATTCCTAAGAATTCATGTAATGGAAGTTGTTGCACAGGCATACTTCCAGATCATTTCATACCAACACAAGGGTGGTTCCCCTTGACACTATCCTTGAACCTACATTGAGGAGAATATATTGATGATCAGAAACAATATCATCAATTCCCAAATAGGTATTTATGCCTTAGTAGAAAATTCAACAGGTCTGACAGTGCAAACTTAGCAACTGCTCTTGAAAATGACTTCCAATAAGCGGCTAACTCGGGTAAGAAATGACTTGTAAATTTTAATGCTTCAAAAACAAATCTACTTTCATTTAATCACCACAGAGAATCTATTCTGCCTGTCATCAGCATGGCTGATGCTAAACTCCAGGAGAGCAATACATTGCACTTTCTTGGCATCACGTTTTCCACTGACGAAGTAAATCATCTATATCAAATCAATTTCTATGCCTACTGCAAGGAAAGTTGTTTCTTGTTGGAATCTATCCTGTACATTTATAAACCTGCAATTCATCCATGCATTGAATACTGCTGACCTCATATCTGGTCTGTTGATCCTGCTGTACATCTCAAGATTCTTGGCAAAATCCAAAGAAGCGTTTGTAATGTAATCAATCCTGACCAAGCATCTCAACTTCAATCACTTTGTCATTGATGTGACATGACTTCCTTCTTTCTTTTCTACAAATATTTTCATGCCAACTACTCTGATGAGCTTATTTCCTTTGTGCCTTGACTACATGAATTTCAACATGTTATTAGATTAGCAACTAAAGTCACAGAGTTTTACTAACTATTGAACTACCTCGATGCAACCATTACTTCAACTCTCTTGTATATGAAATTGGAAAACAATATTCAGCTCTTTTAATGATAATCTACAAATTTTCTACTGGATTAATATCTGGAGAGGATTGGAACCGTTCCATTAATTTGTTTATGAATTTTGTTTATGAAATCTTTTTGGTAATGTGCGCCTTGCAATGTGTCAAGACCTGAAATTTGTGATAAGAACTTCAAATTTAGTAGAAAGATCAGTTTGTGTTTGAACAATGTTATGAAAGAAATTTGTAGTAGGTTAAGTAAATGTTTTCTATAGTGGGCTTTTTTGGTCAAATAACTTTAGTTACGATGATATTGACTATTAGCTGAAACATATCAATAATTTTGTTCCTGTTGTTTTCATAATGTAACTAAAATAGATTATCTGCATTTAAGACCTAAGATCATATTCTAACTTTTATCTATTAAAAAAAAATGTCTTTGTGTAAGAAAAATGAAACAAAATTATTTTAAATAAATGAATTTATTTTTAATTTGTTTATTTTGCAGGGCATTTATGATGGAAAAGATGAAAAGTCTTTTTACAAGAAAGCATACTGGCACAGCCAGATATATCAATGTAAGTACATCTTTTTGAAGAATCACCCACACACTTTTATATGCTTTTAAAATCTACAGCTTGTTACTACTAGTTAACAAGTTTTGAGATTTTATCTTTGTATTGTTAAATAATTTTGAAGTAACTTCCACAATTCAATAAATGTGAGTTATTAAAAGGAGTCATGTAGAGTTTTATATTCTATTTCTAAATGCCTGAATTCCAAAATATATTAATTCTTTCAGAATTTGATAAGAGAATGGCCTGGAAGACTGAATTGTCATTGGTTTTCTGAACAAGGTTATAGAAGATTTAATGAAAAATCATTATTGCTAATATTAGAGATAGAGAATTGTAGTTAATAGTTTATGTAGGTGTATTGCACAATTTTTTTATTATTTTAAACTTCTAGAAAAGGTGTTTTTTTTCTTTTGCATCATTGAATGTTTTCCTCTCCTTGTTGAGAAATGCTATCAGTGAAGACTAAAATCCATGTGAATAATGAATACATCTCATAAATTTTTAATTCTATCATGAGTAATTTTTTTTATCAGCAAAACATTTTTTAATAAGAGAGAAAGGTCTACAACAAAGTAGCCTATGATTAGCCAGAAATTCAAATTTGATTAGTAGAATTTTAAATCTTAAGTATTTATCAAAACATTTCATAAAACCTTATCCAGCACAAAATTTTCAAACAGGGATTTTAAGATATTATTTGTGTTTTCACCTCAGTAATATCTGTATATATGATGAATTATTACAATCTGTTGAAAAAATATTGAGAAGCAGAGAAAGTTTTAACAGTGCAAAACAGCATAGCACAAATAGTTTTAACACACACAGTACATAAATTTGGGGGTAATTTTTTTTTGTCAAACAAAACGTTCAATAACAGTATGTTCCCTACTTGAGTTTACAAATTTCCATCAACATATATATATATATATATATATATATAAAATATCCAATGTCAATAGCACAACTTGGAGTTTCTTGCAATCTTCAGGTGATGATTCAAAATTATGCATTAAAACTTGTTTATTTAGTTATTGTTGCATAAAATATCAGAATTATATCTGTTTCATAACATTGAGCCATGTATTTATAACACCTGAGGAAGAAATGTATTCATATGTACATTTATGTAGATTTTTTATCCTACCCATTCTTTTCTCTCTCTCTTTCTCTCTCTCTCTCTCTCTCTCTCTCATATATATATATATATATATATATATATAGATGAATGTGAATGTGTAAATAATTCATACCAGCCATACAAGATATCCAACATCTAGTTGTATATTTCCTACTTTAAAAACTAAGCCATTTTATAGCTACATACTCACATAAGCTTCATTATCATGTTTCACATAACCCATTATTTACCCAATGTAAATGAACTTGTTAATAAATCTGTTCTCTACATTTTCTTTTTTTCCCCTGCTGATGTTTTTCAGTTAAAAGAAGATGACACTGACGCTTGCATTTTTGCTGAACTTTGAAAAATTGACTTTTTTTTTTCCTTCTCCCAACTGAACAAAGGGTGATTTGTTCTCATTTTGAATGGCTTCTTTCTCCCCCTTCCCCCTCTCCTCTTGTGTGGTTTCATATTTGCACTTTCAATAACCTGGGAGGAATGTTTTGCTAACTTTCCTTTTTGTTTTTTTTTTCTGTTTGAATTGACTTTCTCTCCTATTACATTTATAATTTTATCTACATTGTTGAAATGAGATGCTAACTTGACATTTTGACTCTTTAAGGCAACTGAATTCACAGTTGAGACCTTTTATGATTTTTTTTTTTTTTTTTTTTTTTTTTTAAATATAAAAATAAAATGTGTATAAGCACAGATACATCAGTATAGAAAAAGGATCCCCATAATGATCTATACACAGACACCCCCCCACACACACACACAAATATTGATTTATTTTTAATACCACAGATCTATCATTACCCCATCTATTCTTTCTTACTTTATTAAATATAAAATGTGTACGCATATATGCACAAGATCATTTATTGTGATTGCTTTGTGAAAACAGTTAATAGCTGATATCATCACAAAACCCACCTTCAGAAGGGTGGAGGTAACAAATCTCCCAAAGTACATTAGTGACCTTGCCCCGACCCCAAGGAAAATAAGAGCTTTACTAATGTCATTAGTGTGGTAGATAGGAGTGGAAGCACAGAGTGACAGTAAAAGAGAATCAGGTTGATATACAAGACACATCTCCTTCTGCCTTCCCCTTTAAGGAAAGATTCCTCTAAGACCAGACAAAGTACCTCCGGCCATTTCAGTTCCAACTGGATATCGAGAGCGAACCAGATGCTGAGTATCTTGACTGGCTCATCAATCTAGGGGAAATGTTCAGGAAGAAAAACTCCTTTCCATGCATCCAACAGACTTATCGCAGTTGATCTTGGCTCCTGTCACCGTCTTGTACCCTCTGATTTCTTTGCTGAGTTTGTCAATCTCTTTTCTACCTGAAACAATGATCGAAATGTTGTCAGCATAGGTGGTAGTACCAGATAGGGAATTCATCTTTAACTTGCGAAGAGAAGGGTTCCAATGCAAGAGCAAAAGTTGGCAACCTTGACGAATGGAGCAAGACAATATATGAAAGGCTTCGATTGTACCCCATTCACTTCCACCAACGCACTGGGAGTCTGATCCAGGTGTGACTTTGGACTGACCTATCAGTGTGGCTTCACTGTTGACTTACTTGATGATCAAGTGTACCATACGAAGGTTGTCCTGAATAGTCCTGCCCTTCACAACACAAGTCTATTTGGAGCCAATCAGACTAGAGAGGACAGCCTGCAAATAGTTGGCTAAGATCTTGGCTAGACTCTTTAACTCTGTATTTAACATAGTTAAAGACCAAAAGTTACCTATACCAACCCTATTGTTCTTGTCCTTGCTTAATTATACCTCTGGTGTAGTGTTGAAGCATAGATCCCTGCTTCAACCAGTTGTTGAAAATCAGTGCCAGCAAAGGAACAAGAACTGGTGACTACCTCAAGTACAGTTTGTAGGGTAGGCCATCTAATCCCAGAGATTTGTCCCAGCCAACCTGCCTCAGCACTTCTCAGATTTCCAACTCTGGAATGGAACCCCCAACACCCAGCCACTTTAGAAGTCAGCTAAATTGGCATCAAACTAAGCATTGCTCAGACCAGATTCCCTGGTGAAGAAATCCTAAAAGTATTCACGAAAAGCTTCACATATGCCTGCATTTGTAGTCACAGTTCGATTATCTGGCAATGTGACATCGCTGAAATGCATTCTGAACTTCCTCTGCATGCAGTTCAGTGACCATATTCGAGTTATTCTTTTTAACCTAGCCCTAACTACCAGAGCTTGATCCTTGATAAGCAAGAAGGCCAACTCTGCCTTAGATAAAGCTATATCCCCACTATCATGGGATTTAATTGCCCAATTGACTTTTTTATCACAAGCTATTGTTGCTGCTAATCTATCTAAATTGAGCTGATGACTATAATCAGCAGCAAATGTTCTAATTTTAGATTTGAATTCGTCCCACCAGGCATTCCCAACTACAGCCCTGATCATTTTCTGCTGTAGCATTAGTAGCTGGTCCCAGAAATCTTGTTCAGCAGACAATGATGAGAGTAGTCAACCATCCTAACTTTAGGCTTATCTAAGTTTATACGGATCCAGACAAGCCTATGATCCAAATAAACTATACAGTGGAAACTTGGACGCCCTAAGAGCCCTACATTAACTCTCCTAACTAAAACTCAGTTGTGGTAGCTGGAACGCATTTCTGTAGTCGAGCTTAGCTGCCCCTATTAATCCAAGTCCATATTACCTCCCATTGGTGTTCAATTACAGTACTTATCCACAAGATCAAACTTATCGATAAAGTCCTGAAATGGTTTCACATCCCGGTTGTTAAATCATATAGGGTTAAATTCAGGTACTATGTCAAGCTCAAGGACACCATTCCATTTCCCCATTAAAAGTACCTGACAAGATGGGTACATAAACTCTAATCATATGAAGAGAATTATTCTTTATGGTAACATCAGCATTCAAAGCCTACCTGCTGGAACTGCAAAAACAAGAGTACACACAGCCTTCACAACTTGCTCACCAGCCAAACACCTCTCAAGCAACTATCAAAACATGCTGAATAGAGGGTGAAGCCCCTAGACAAAATGCCCTCATAATCACAAGTTGAAAAATGGGTCACCTGCACACAATATATATTCACCCCAAGACACTGGAGGTCGCAAGAGAGACTTGCCCTGCGGGACTCAGGCTTCAGGCATTCATGCTAACTAACCAAAGTGCTATTATCAAACTGATTAGGGTTGCTCTTCTACATTGAGCACGGCCAGGGTGAGGACACCGACACCTGTTCCCATCTCAGTTTTGATGGTATTTTCATCAGACAGGCCACCAATGTCCAAGGGGAACACGAGTTTTAATGCTCTATACAGGGAGAGGTGAACAAAAAGTGGGAGTCTCTTTGAACATTATTGATACAAACATTTAACATTTTCATCAAAGAAAGCTAGTGGGTGGATAAAAACATTGATATAAACTTCCTCCATCATTGCCCATATATGTTGGGCACCTTGACCAGATCTCACTACCGTTAAAATCCTATTGGCATTGGGAAAGTTATCAAGGTTTTTGGCGTCCATATTATTCATTCTCTTGAAGTTTAAAAGGATTTTTAGGATTTTTGTTTTGCAAGATTGTGCAAGAGCTTTATTCTTCCTGTTCATTGGATATTCAGCACATGCCTTCCTCTATGTTGTTGCTGGATTTGTTTTTTTGTTTTTTCTAAAGTAGTTTCAGCTGAATCAGATGAAGGGTTTCACTATCTTTTTTGTTGATCACTTTATTTTTTTTGGTGAATTGATGGAGGTCTACACAACAGGGGATGGATTGGGAGTTACGTTGAGATTTCTTAGAGGATGATTTGGGTATAGGCACCTTCCTGAGAGTGGTCATGTTGGAAGTGGAAGATGTTGCCAAGGAA